AGGAATTCATAATTTGTGGAAGAAGAGCCTTTGCTTTGGCCAGTGCTAAAAGCTCTTCTAGCACATAACTAACAATAATTCTATCACAGTAAATGATGATGCTTAGAGGTAATACCACATCATAAAGAAGATGAGTTTAACTATTACGAATGACATTTTGGTACATAGAAATTATAAATACCTGAATCACGTTTGCCTTATCCTTCAATTATCATTTTTTAATGGACAGTTTCCAGTTGTACGAGTTTTCATTATGTTATTTATTCCAGAAAATACATATATAAATAATTACTTTAAACATAATTACGTTTCCAAGAAAAGCACGAGAGGAAAAGCACAAGTCTTTTACACATTTTACAAACACACGTGTTATCTTTACGTGCGTTTGTACACGTACATCGTCAGGCACTTTTTATTAAAGTGAATATGAGATATTTTCATTATTCACGCAGGCTCAACCTAACGTGAGAAATTTCCCGTCATTCCTGTGTAAAAATGGTTTAACCCACGTTAGGCAGTACATTAAGATGTTATACACCACTACTGTCAATAACATTTTAGTTAGAGAAACAAATCCATCTTTTTAGATAGATTCCACCAGATTACTATTTAAAAGCATCGTGGTATAGTAGTTCTATTTTTGTTCGTTGGTAGAAATAGAATTATAGGAAGTATCCTGATGATTCCTGCATGTTGATTAGGTTTTTCTAATTGATTGGTTTTTTTTATGAGTCATTCACAATACGATCGTTCACCTTATAGCTTGTCCTCATTATTATTAGAATATGTTACTTCCGTTTCGCCGGAGGACTTTAGTAGCAGATACATTAATAATATTAATCTAAACGACATATTATGCAACACACGACCTAATCCGTCTTGTCAGAGACTCCAAGATTCAGGCAAAGTCATACCAAATTTGGAACTCCTGACCGAAGTAAGGGAACTACAGTTAAAATTTCGGAACGTTTTCGACACTATGTCGTGATTCGAACTATGAAACTTTTTATTTACAGTCCTATATACTAACCATTAGGCCTAGCTTATTCGGCACGAAAGGAAGCCACATGCAAAGAAAGAACTATATTATAAAATCCATAAAAAATTAATTATGCAAATTGTTGCATCTAAAGAAATGTTTCAGAATAATCTCACCGACAAAAAAAAACACTTTGATAATTGGTTATATTTTATAAATCTTTTGCTCTTTAAAAATAACATAAGAAACCTCAAATATAATTTTGTATTTACTTACTCTTTATTCAAAAGCAAATCTTGTGTGTACTACAAGTCAAAATTTTCAACAAAACATCGCATGCAAGCACCTTGGTTATCTTAAGCTCGACATCTCGGCTTGAAACAATATGATGTTCTGTACTTATATATATTTACACGTTTCACATCAATCATTATTTTATCGTCGTAAATTCATGATTATTCTGTCACTGAAACCCATCCAATCTCAGTGGGACTTAATTTGTTAAATACGCAAAAAGATCCCTTAAGGTGAAAAAAAGTTTATCTTGGGCAACATTGAAAAACCTACACAGCCACTACTTTGATTTATAATTCAATTAGGCTTATGTTAATCCTTCTAACAAATACCTATGTTTATGATGATCCCTCTCAACTGTTCTAATATAACTAGTGTAAATGCATATAAGGCTACTGTATACCAACTAAAACTGCAAACTGGCAACGCAAATAGGAAGATCCCAATCAACTCTAATTATCTTGCCTGTAATCCGCTTCAAAACAGTTTTTTCACAGTATATTTTATTTTACATTTATCGCTAGGAGTTCTTTACTATTTTGAATCAAATAATTGTATTATAAGTTATATACACACACATATCCGTGTACATGTGAAAAGAAACTCATGGTTAAATTATTGCTTCTTTGTACAACCATTCTCTCCAATTATTCCTAAGGTTGTCAGTTGAAACAACTTTATTCTGGCCTTATCAAGTAACTGAAAGGACTATTAAGTGTACAGAACATAGAAATTACCGCACACTCATCCTTGAGAAAAGTAAACATTTAAATCTACACTTTATTTTTCAAGAACTCGACGATTCCTCTCTTAAAATTCTAAGTGTTGGCCTCGCCTATTTCCTATGGCAACTTACTACATGAGCTAACCACCCAGTTGAAAAAAATAAAACTGTTTTAATTGGACCCTATTATGTCCCTTTTTCAAAATCTTAAACTTAGGTACTGTCGTCATATTGTCTTCAGAGTAGAGCACAAAGCAATCAGAGGCTTTTATCATATCGATCACCAGGGTAATATTTTAAAATGTAATACGCTCACCTCCATTCCTTCTTTTTTCAAGAGAACATGATTTAAGAGATCTTAATCTATCTCTAAGAAATAACACTTTTATCCTCTGAATTATCTTAATAACCCTCCTCTAAACCCTTTCAAACAGGTCAATATCCCTTCTTAGATAAGAAGACCAAACTATACAGTATTCCAGGTGAGGCCTAACTAGTGCTTTGCATAGAGAGATAATTATTTCTTTTTCCTTATAATTAATTGTATGTTTAAACACACCGCAAAATTATATTGGCGTTAATAGCAACATAACACTACCTCGATTGTTTAAATTATTTAACTACCACAATGCTAAGTTCTTTTTCTTACGTCATGCTATTGTGTGGGTTTCCATCTACATTAAACTTGTGATACAAATTATGAAAACCTAAATACATTACCTCGAATTAAAAATCTTGTTTCGTCCTGATTGTTCATTTCTAATCTGTCAATATGTCAACTTAACACGAAGGGATTAACATCTACACGATTCGGGGAATGTTCTTGGTCGCGAATAACAACGGAAAGTATGCATGTGTTGTTATTAGACCTCACAATTTTCTTAGTTTTTAAATATTTGGATTTGTGAATATTTTTCGTGGAAAATAATTCGTTCATGAGGTATCTGCGAGGAACAAGGTTTTCATCTTCTTATTAACATAAAAGTTATTTTATTCAAGCAAAAATATTTTTAAAAGTTAGCAAAAATACAGGAGTTTGAAGCAACTGATTCACTGTAATTTTTAATCGAATAACTTACAATCAGAATTAGCCATTAGGTAAACTTCTTATAATAATAGCGAATATTTTTCAACAAATCATTTAATATTACCACATATTTCTGAAGGTGATTCTACATATTCAAGATTTCCCTTAAATTGCTTAATACTTTTTCTACCATGCAAAAAAAAGGTTGTTAAAGCCTATTTGTCTGAAAAGAGTAACACCTGTATTTGCATACAATATGAAATGTTAACCTTCCAAACAAATTAAAGTAGATAGTATTACAGAAACATAATTAATACATTAAGTTTTTACTAAAACAATATTTCTAATAGTTTTATACCAGATTTTTCTCGATATTTCATGGTTTTTGCATTATATATAAATAGAGAAAGCGAGATCCTTTGTACAAACATATCAAGTTTCAAGCTATAGCTACTAAAATCCATTAATTATTTACAATACGTTGGTGTGGTGTGAAGATATATATATATATGATAAAAGCATTAAATATCTAGAGTATGTGGGTGTAGTGTGAAAATATATAGATACTGAAAATCATTAAATATCTAGAATACGCGAGTATGGTGTAAAAGCTATAAATAACAAAAAAACATTAAATTCCTGGAGTACGAGGGTGAGGTGTAAAAGAGCTGAAGATGCTAAAATCATTAAATACCAATAGTACGGGGGTGTATGTTGAGCCATAGAAGTTAAAATCTTTATTAAATATATTTACTTTATTTGTAACACTTTTATTCAGAAATCAGTTTCAATAAGTTTCCACATTCTGTTCATAAGAAGTTAAGTACAGACTGTTGATTTCTTCGCGACTTCCCCATCCCTCCCTTTCTTTATTCAAAAACATACTGATATTGGAAACTTCGAACCTGAGGGGGGAAAGTGAGTGCGTGATTACTATTCTTTGGACTCAGAAGTGATAATAAATTACAACGTAAGCATATCATTTAAAAATAAACATATTAATTTATACTACAACAGTTATTTGATGCGTGATACACAATTTACTTATAGTGTTACGTTATACTGAACTCCATAATGGGATGAAATTAAGAACTTGCTAAAGTTGTGTGCAATATTATAAGCTAGTTTAATTTTTCATTTGTTTATTGGTCAGAAATCAAATGATAAACGTTAATAAATACTGATTTTATCTTTAATGTAAGGCTTTTTTTTAATATCACCAGAAAGTCAAACATTCAAATAATTTTCGTCACGAAAGCAGCAAGGATGGAATCAACCAATCACCTATCTGCATTTTTGACGGACGAAGGCTTTACGAAGCGTAGAATAACTTGATTCCAAACAGTTCTATTATATGATATGCACATGAAATATTACAACACTGCTGTATAACAAATACAACGGATATTTATGGAATTTAGCGATTTCAAAGTAATCAGTTATTTTTTATTTACAATATTACTCAGACATTGATTCACGTAACTTTAGCTTTTTACAAGTTCACATGAACTTCATGATGAAGTTAATACGTAACTTTAACTATTAAAGAAACTTTGACCAAAATTATTCTATTTACTTACAAACATTTGTATCATTATCAGAAATAATTGTTTTAGTGGTTTTTAAATATGGGGGTGTTAATTTACAAATGAGTTTATACTGTAAAATGAAGCTGGCAAACTTTTGTCTGAAAACACATAATTGCCTTTTTTTTTCAAAATGGAAAATTTAACATTATAAAAACGTGCTTATTTATTAACGTAATTTCAGGATCACTCTGGAACTGTGGACGTGGAATAGCTTAGTAGATGAAACTACATTATTGGTAATAGTATGCCGAGTCCTGTGTGTGTAATTACTAGACTTTTTAAAAATAACATCTGAATAAGCACGAGTTTCGCTGTCTTCTCATAAACAACGTAGACTATTCACATTTTCCAATAGAAATGAACAAAATGAAAGTATATATCACTTACCTGTATTAATAACAATGACCCTTACGGTGAAAATCAGCCACATTAAAGCAATCATTTTCAAGCGACATCGGCAGATAAAATGCCACGAATGAGTTTTCAGTTCTGTTGTTAATCCTAAATTTATATAATGTTCGTAAATGAATATGAAAATAAAGTGTTTATTATTAATATTTTTCGCTTCAGAAACACTTCAACCAGCAGCTGTGCTTGAACCTGGTCCAGAGTCTTCTTGAAAGTGAATAGGTTTCATTTTTTGATACAACAGTCAGAAAAGAGAATCAGAACATGCAGTGTAGAGCAGAAACACACTAAATTAGAAACATGGTATAGTATAAATGCTTGCACGTTTCAAAAACAATGCACTGCTACCAGGATTTGCTTATGTCGAGTATCAGGAAAGATAACCGGGTGACGTAGTGTCGTTTCCGACAGTTCCGTCACGTCCTGTAGGGAAGGACTGACTACAGACTTCGGCGTCAACCTTCCTGGGACTTTATGGTGATAACGTCAATCACTGCACAACTTTCTGGTTAGTCTCTATTGATGACCAACCTTCTGTAGCTCCGACGCAAATGTGTTGCGTGTTTCACATCGGGCCACACTGAGGAGATACATCAAACACCAGCGCCCCCTTGATAAAATTTAATTCGTCAGTTTCTCCAAGGGCTCATCCGCTCTGAAAATAATGGTTATTTTATTGTAAATCCCTTAAAGACATGATTTAATAAGTAACAAAAAATACGCAAGCGTACAGTGTTTGAAGGGAAACAACACTGCAAATAAAAATATAATTACATCAATATCTGAGCAAATATGGTATTCGTAGTTATTTACTTAGAATAAACTACTTAGAAAAAAATAATTGCTTGCTCAACTTACAATTAAAATACATAAAGCACCAGTGTCATTTTAGCAGGTCAATAGCCTGTGGGCAAGTGCCTGTGGATTGAAGGCCTGCTAATGTTTTTTTCTATCTTTAAGAGGGGTGATAAGAATTGCCCTGAAATTTATACGCCAGTTAGTGTTACTTCTGAAGTTGGAGAAAATCTGGAGAGTCAGTTGAAAAACTTTACAAAATAGTTTAATGAAATTTGATATAACAAAACAACAACAGCAACAACATGAACCCATTAAAGGAAAATCTTGTGTAACTGACCTGCTAACTTTTTGGACTATGTTATTTATATCTTGATGATGGAAAAGATAGGCCTTTGGTTTACTTACATTAAACAAAACTATTAATTAGGTGCCACTCAGATTAGCTAAGAAAATAACAAGGGCGTTGGAGAAAAACGAGTTAAATGGATTGAAAGGTGATTGGGTGACAGAAATCAAAATGTTGTAATTAATGAAATCCAGTCACACTGAACATTTATCACTAGTGGTGTGCCTTATGGATCAATCAGTATTTTGCTATGTCTTTTGTACGTTAATGATATTGATAGGAGTATAATTAGTAAATTAATAAACTCTTTGGTATTTATAATTGTATTTATGATGTTGAGAAATTATAAAATGATTTAAATTAATTGGTAAGTTTGATAAATATCAAGTAAATGGATTTTAGCTATAGTAACTGCAAGGTAATGCATCTAGGTTTTCATAGTTTGCGTTTCATGTTTATTATAGATAGGAAAAATAAAGTTACTGAAATTTAATCACTTAAACTATGAAAGTAGTACTGTGATGATAGAAGTAAAACTAACAGAATTGTAAGCTTTATCTACGGACATATTGATTACGAATCCAAAGAGATAATTATAGCTTTATACAAATTATTAGTTAGGCCTCACTTGAAACAATGTTTAGGTCTCCTTTTCTAAAAAAAGGGTGTTAACTGAGTACAGAAGGCCCAGAGAAGGGTACTAAAATAATTCTGGAGATGGAAAGGTTACCTTATGATCTCTTAGCTTATTTTTTTCATAAGAGAAGAAAGGTAAAATGTAATCTTATATAATTTTACAATAGTATCCAGTGGTTAATACGACAAAGTTTTTTTTCCTGTATTCTGAATATAACTGGATGAGAGGACAGTCGATTTTAATGGAAGATGTCTCCTTATAGTCGTTTATAAAGGGAATTGATAATTTTCTGAAAAACAAAGGGGTGGATTTAATGTTTTATTTTTTTTCTCAGTGGTGGATCTACAAGGTTCCTGATTGTTCGTTAAGATTTTAATGCCATTGAAATATAATATGTAAATATATCTCACAATTATTTCTTTGTGCACTTGAAGGACACCGTATGTACATATAGGGCTGAATCAATAGATCAGAGACCCCGATGGTTCAGACAGCACACGACACCTAAAGCGTATAGATATCGGAAACATGTGATGAGATTTTAATCCGATACCATAAAGGTCAAACTATAAACCTCATAATATTCGTGTAAAATAAATAATACGTATCTTCTTAGTTCTTTAACACGAAATGACTATGCCAAAAACTTACTGAAATGACAATACACCTTAAAAATTATTTGCTGGCCTTTTAGGAAGGTGTTGTGTTTGTTGTTTGTTATTAAGCACAAAGCTACACAAAGGGCTATCTGTGCTCTGCCCACCACGGGTATCAAAACCCGGTTTCTAGCGGTATAAGTCCGCAGACATACCGCTATGCCACTGGGAGGCTTAGGAAGATGTTCAAAGAAAAATTTTCAAGAAAATAAGAAATCCACATTAATTGCAAGCAATATGTAAATTTTTCAAATTATAGTTTATATTTGTTTTGTCAAATATGGCTGCTGATTCCTCAATAGCCGCGGCTGTAATTATATTTCAAATCAGTCAAGAGATGGAGCTACGAGCAAAATGTTTGTCCTTGAAAAAAAAAATTCAGAGACATTCTATGAGCCGTTATGCCTCGGCTAAAAACTTTTCTTTTGTATTTTTAGTTAGCTGCAGTATATGATTACATGATTAAATATTAAGAGCTGCTAGTTTATGCACTGTCTACCTTGTGAAGATGTTCATATAGTTTTGAGACGAGGGGTTTTCTTTCATATACGAAGAGTATCTTAAGTATGGAAAGGACTTATGTCATGAGGTAAGCTGTTCAATACAGTTGCGGATTAATTTTTCTTAATTAAATAACACAATTACCCCTCTGAGCTAATTTTTATGCAAAGCAAGAATCCGAACACCACTCATGTAATCTGATATACAAATATCTACTTTTGGAATACGCTCTTATAAATGTGCATTTGGTACTATAGGCTTTGCATTCCAATAAAACATATAATCATCTTGGACACTATTGCAAGTGGTACATCGATGTGGAATAATTAGAGTGAATGAATCATTTAGCTACCGCGAAAGTATGGCCTATTCCTTATTTAAGGCTACTTCCAACTCATCAACACTGTTTGTAGATGAATTTCGTGCTGGTAAGAATTCCATATCTGTTCAATCGGATTAAAGTTCATGGGTTAGTCCATTTGCACAATATTCTCTTTACCCAAGAAACTGCTAAACAAATGAGCATGGCGGGGGTTTGCGTTATCGTCCACTAGAAAAAAAGTCCTGACCAACTGCACTTACATATGTCAACACTAACTGTAGTACGACTGCATCTCTATATCTATGACATCTATAGTGAAATGTCTTAGCATATACAGATCAGTGTGCCTCCAATACTGATTTCTGCCCTGATTATTATACCTCACTGCCATATTCATGTCTTTCCAGCATGAATCTGTAGTTGGATCTGGTCCTGTCTACTCTTTAAATGCATACACACATCTTGTATATGGCTGCAGGGTGAAACGTGACACGGTGTGAACAAGACTTCGTCCACATATTGGTTAATAAATCTACATGTTCATGACATTAATGAAGACGTGCTTATTTTTGGTGGTGGTTTAGACGAATGTACACCATTGGTCATTTGGCATAAAGATCAACGCTGTGAAGCCCGTTTCTAACAGTTTGCTTTCTAATTTGTCCTTCAGCCCCTGTTCTAAATTTTTGATTTAATTGGGATGCTGAGGCCCGCCGGTTGTGTTGACAACTAGCGGTCGTCTTGCGGGATTTTCGACAATGGCGTAATCCGTCCAGATGTCTAGGTAACTACTGTATTGGTGGTCTGAAAGCGTTTTTAGATCCTGCTAATCGAATTTTGCGAGAATTGTAGCTACTCTGCAATGACTTGATTGATTTAACTGGATTCCAGCCGACCTATTGCTCTCCACATAATGAAAATATTCACTACTCTTCCTTGGGAGTTTGGCATGTTTCACTATCAATCATCTGAATCCTTTACATCTTCTCATATTGCTCAAACTGCTAACTGAGAACACCCAGTGTTCTCTTAGCTTTTAGATACCATATGCCTTATAGATCATATAATCGGTTGTCTGACTCTCGTTTTGCACAAACATGAACTCCGAGGTGCCATTTTAAAGTGGTTGTTGTATCTTGTTATATCTAGAGTATAAAAAACTCCAATTATATCTTAATATATTTGAGTAGTGTGATAAAATCAACTTGTATTGTTTGTTTAAAATATGCTAGAATATAACATCATTATATATATATATATATATTGTATAAATATGTTTATATATTGTATAAATATGTTTATATATTGTATAAATATGTGTACCGTTTATTATTCATGTTTTTTAAAAACAAACTAGTAATTCAACATAAATAATGGAGAAATTTCAATTTTTATGAGTTAAGGTACATTATTTGATTTTCTCTAAACATTTGCAATATTATATCAAATTGAAATATGCGATAGTAACTTTATCGTTAAAAACAGAAAACTATGAAATTATATTCCGCTCTCGTGAAATATGAGGCACTCTGTTTCTGCTAGTAAGGATTTTCAAAAGTTATCAAAGACGTTTTGTTTCTAATTGTGATATATATATATATTGTATTCCTTTTTATACCCTTGTGCATTCTTTTTTAAATCATTAATCTTAAAAGAGTATTTTAGGCATGATATAACTTTCTTTTGGTGATGAGCACAAATTGGGAAAAAATAGTGTTTATAATCAAATGATTAATCTTTTACAGCATACCCCTTGAAATTGTCTTTCCCTAGTAGGAGAGCGCAGAAATACGCAAGGTAAATTACTTAACCTCCTTTCGGAGGTGGATGGTTAATTTAATTATATTAAAATTCGCAAAAACGTTTCAAATGTTGTTGTTGTTTTATCGCAAAGCTACACAATGGCCTACCTGAGTTTAGCGCTGTAAGTTCGTAAACTTACAGCTAACCTTTTCGTTTTAGTCAGTTGAAACGTTTCTAATGTTTGAATGTCGAGGTTATAGCAGTTATTGCATTTTGTGAATCTGGAAATAAATCGTCTGTACTTCATTGTAGTTTCCCGAATATTATTACTTTGATGGCATTCAAAATAAATTCTGACTGATTGGACAAACAAACAAACAGCATAGATATTTTGTGTGATTATTACGATAAAAAAGATGTTTTAGAGATAAACATAGCGTGGAAAACTAACAACATTCTGATTTTGGTTGTGAAAGTTACAATCAAGACATCGGAGTTTTTATGGTAGCGCACTCTAACTGCGGT